GATAAGCATATTTCTAGTTGTGTACTTTGTTGATAAATTTTAAAATGAAAATGATTAGATATTGGCAATTGCTCATGAAAGTCAATCGATACTGTAAACATTCTATGTGCATATGCATGATAACAACTTTTGTTGAGGCAAATATGTGGTTATAAAAATTATGTTCGTCTTGGACGATATCAATTTCTCAGGTTCATAAAATCACATATTCACCTAAATAAAAGTCTTTAGTTGTGATATTAAATTCTCCAATTAATGCTCTAATCATAAACATGACGGAACGTACGAAACTTGTACGGAGGAAAGTACTGCATTTGTCAGAGAGCATTGTGACGTTACAACTGGAATGACGTCATAAAGTGAATATTGACCTGTTGTTTCAAATAAATAGTGAAGCTGAATAAATATCACAAATCACCGACCTCCAGATAAGTATAATCCAACCAAGGGCGATGCAGGAAAAAAATCAATATATTTAACTTTTGTATTTATGTAAAGTTACACCAGAGGACAACATATTTGTCATCACAATTATCAGCCTAAAACAATAAATATATACTTGATATTTTCACTCAATCCGGTTGGCTGGATTCTATACACGGACCAATTTTCATAAACTCGTAGAGACCGGTTTTCCGTCGGAAATGAATTTCCCCATATAGAGGAATCCCTTTTATAGGTTATCTTAACATGCAAAAATCGTATTGCGATTGGAAACCTGCAATACAAAGCCTGGCATTCAAATGTTTCCTTTGTATTTTGCTATGTAATTTTTATGAACCATTTAATAAGACAGTTATGGACTTAATCTGAATTTTCAAACGTAACTGATTTTTTAAAGCAAACATAGATATTCAAACACTGAGATTTTCGACACTAAATACAAATACGATTGCGAACATTCTAATAAGATATTATTGGCCGATAAGATTAATTGGATCATGAACTTACTATATCATAGAAAACCGTTGTTGGAGGCTTGATGTCTCAAATCACAATTGTTGCATACATGAATCTCATCAACTTAGTATTTTCCTATCTTACAATAGTGTAAGATATATATCTAAATATATTTTATGTACACTGTAAATATTGTTAAAGGGTCTCATATTGAAATACGGTATATAAAGGTTACGGTGGCAAAAACAAATATTCTTACCATTGTTGAATTCTTCCTCGAAAATGTTGTCGTTCCTGTTCTCCCATTTTCCCACAGCAGAAGGCTCTTTCGCTGTGTTGACCACAGCCAAATTTTCGGGATCCATGTCCTCGCAGTAAGCGTCACCGTCCGTGAACGTCATGTTTAATTCACCTGTAACACGTAATTACTTTAATAACATGGACAGGTATGTATATTAACTAATAACTCATAAATAGACTGCTTCTAATTGGCTGAGAGATCAAAGCATGAACAAATTTGCAATAATCACCGGATGATCCGATGATTATCAAATTCTTTCTTTATATATCGTATTTTTTGTATTGAATTCCTCTTTATTATGTTGAAACAATTACATTTTACTTGTGGAATATTCTATTGGTCAAAATGACAGCATATTCATCATGTAAAAAGGTCATAATTGTATAAATATGGTATTTGTTCAAACAAATGTAAAGACGAAATATTATGATATAGCAATCCACAAATATATCCTTTCTCTTTCAGATTACTAGAAACATTAACTATATAGTAACTTTTAGCATTCGATAAAGGACTCGTACTTATCTCTTTCAAGATATTAACCTTGGGTTGAGATATCACGATTGGAAAGTTTACACAACTTTGTGGAAGATTTCTACAAACACACTAATGGGTCATATTATTAGAATTAATGCTGAGCGATGTAATCTGGATGATGTATATCTGGGTAATGTACTTAGACATACTTTTGTCATTTAATCTCACATTCGGTGGCTTTTTTCAATTTTCAATTTGCTGTTCGGGTAACTTTAAGATGAACGAGCATTAATATTGATACGAACTAAGGCTAAACACATTCAGGGAAAACACGAAATAGGAAATAATTGAATTCGAGTAGAATAATTTTACATGCTTAGTGTAGATAAGTGCAAGCTTCATAGTTTGCATCCAGTGTGAACATTATTAACCTACATTTCACATTCACCAATCAAATGCTACTGTTAAATCACAATTCAAAAATAGCTTGAGGCGACATACTTCGGTTTCACGTTGCTAAGCCAAGTCTTATGGCTAAATAAACACTGTAGCTTTTTGTTCAAATAATCATGTATAAATGTATCAGTTCTATGCAATTGGCTTTATCCTTATAAATAATAAATTGGATGTTATGTTCCATAACACGCTTGACTACGATATCATTTACACATAATGAACCGAACATTAACTTGATTGTATTGTTTAGCATTTAAACACTTCAAACGCACAGTTATATTTAAATATTGAGTATTTAGTTTGATGAGACTTATTTGATACATCTTATTGAACATAGAATATTTACACACCTTTCCTACGAATGATCAAAGACATATTTTCCAACTGACGAATGCATATATATTTCAGTTCTTCCTTATTTCACAATCTCGGTTCGAGAAATACATGCTCCCATTCTTCGCTTGTCACTTGGTCAGTGTACTGATAGGGAGTGGTATGAATTCAGATGTTTAATGATGTTTTCAAATCAGACGGGTTGATTTATATTGGTTCACCATCAAACTCGTAATGTGTGTACAACATGATCGTTTGTGTTTGAGACCGTGCGCACATATAAATGAAAATATAGTAAACTGCTTAATATGACAAATGCAAGCCAAAAGTTTCAAAAGCAAACACAAATAGTTCGAAATACAAAATCCTGTTTTGTTGAACAGTTTATATAATGGATCAAAAACCTTTGGCACACCATGACATGTTCCTAGCCCTGTCGCATCCACACTTGTAACAAATACAAAAGACATTGTGTAATATTCAGGAAGACACCTACCTTAACATTCCGAAATATAGATAGTCCTATTCCTTCAACAAACACTACTGACTTTTGACGAGACAAACTCGCGTTTCATATATGTAGGTGAAATACTGGAAATTTCCTTTACCTCATACACTTAGCTGTGTCTATTTATAGCAGGTGAATCACTTAATCATGGTTTGTTTGCTTTAAATACCCCTTATGACTATCTACCCGTAACATATTTAGCATGCATAGTCAGTGTATTTATCTAATTACGGTTCATTTTTTCTTCATTTTTTTATATTCGAAAGAATTATGTACTGTCTCTAGTTCTAATGAATTGATATTTCAATGAAATAAATAAAGTCGGAATATTGTGGAAACAGTAAGTTAAGATAACAAATATTTGAACAACGGAACGGATATATTTCTCGGACGGAACACAAACAGTGTTGGTGTCAGCCAATCAAAACCATCTTTGCTTAAGCAGAGTTTAAAAATAATTTGCCTACATAATAGACATATTGAAGCCCGCCCAGTTGTCACAATGGTATCTCCGTATGAGTAATGTACATAAACGAACTAACTAGCTGTTTACGAAACAGTATGCCATTCGGTCATAAGTTTGTTATATCGTATATCTTTACTTTACCTAGTATTAAACTGCAGACTACTTGGTATCTATTAAAGGTTTCATGTTTTAACCGGAATTTATCTAAATAGTAAAATAAAATAATTTTTGGATCCGGAAAAAATGAAATACAACTTCGTACTTTTATTATGGTATGAAGCCCAATAGCTTATAACCTAATCTTATAATTGCAACACAAGGCCTCATGTTTCAAAACAAGCGTTATCTGAGATCAAATATCCCCTAACGCAAGTTGAAATGTTAAAATATAATACAATACTAAAATTGAAATTGAAATGTTAGGACGGCGTTCTAGAAAATATATATTCAACATAATCTTCATGTTTTAATCGTGTGACCATCCTACAGGACGCAGTCCGATAACAAACTGTTACTTATATACATTATTGTATGTAAAATGTCGTTCCTGGTTATGTGTTCCCCTCTGCTTCAGAGAACATATACCATATACAAGCTTATCATCATTGAAAAAGCAAAAGACGCATAACACCATGCCAAGGGGAAAAACTAAAACGAAGCGGTAGTTGCTCCTCACCATGTCATGTCTTCAGAACAGAAATTGCTTGGGATAATCGGGACGCGTTTGAATGTTAGAAGCTGTATTATCCCTTGTGGCTATCTTCTCGTAACTTGGGAGTAACCACACTTCATTTTTGTCTTTTTTTCTTTATTTGGAAGAATGTTATTTCTTGTCTACCTCTATACAATGGAATAATATGACATATGAAATCTTAAATTTTAAAAGAGTATACGTTTCGGAATATTGTACAAATGTTAAGATAAAAAAACATCAGAACAACTGAACCAATACATTTCCCAAACAGAACGTTAACAGGTGTCGCCAAATCATAATTTGAACTCAATATCGATATAGATCAGAGTTTAAAAGTAGCTTATCATAAATGTGAGTGTATAGAAATATATCATACTATGTGCGACAATCTTGAAAAAAAACCAGCCAACTTGTCTAATTTTTTGTGATATTTCTAAGGCGTTTGATCGAGTGTGGCATAGGGGACTGGAAGTGAAACTAGCTAGCTATGGAATATCGGGAACGTTATTGGACTGGTTAATTAATTATGTTACTAATAGATCTCAACAAGTTTTTATTGGAAATAGTAGATCTTCTGTTAAGAGAACAAATGCAGGAGTGCCTCAGGGTTAGGTTCTTGGCCCATTGCTGTTTATACTATATATTAATGACATAACAAATAATATAGAAAGTCTATCAAAACTTTATGCTGATGACACCTCTCTTTTGTATTCGGATAAATCACCACAAGTAATTGAACAAAAAATTAATAATGATCTCGTAAATATACAATTGTGGGCAGATAACTGGCTTGTTAAATTCAATCCTGCAAAAACAGAGGCTTTACTTATTGCTAATATTGAACCTGATCACCTCATTGAAATTAACGTTACTAATGTAAGTATTGAATTTGTTGAAAACCATAAGCATCTGGGAGTATTCATCAACTAACTGTAAATGGACCTATCACATTGATAATATATGTAAAAGAGTAGTTAAACAATTAAGTGTCCTCTATAAATTGATATATACACTGAACTGACGTACACTGAATAAAATATATAGAACATTTATACTTCCTATTCTAGAATATGGTTGTGAACTTTGGGATGGTTGTTCTATTGCTGATTCAGAAAAATTAGAAAAACTACAACTTGAAGCTGGACGTATTGTCACTGGTTTACCGTCGTTTACTAGTAGACAATCTATATATAATGAAACTGGATGGGATTCACTAGCCCATCGGAGATCCCGTCGAAAACTTCAATTATTTTTTAAAAATCCACAACAATACAGCTCCTAACTATCTCAACACTCTACTCCCTTCCCTTGTTGATAACTCTCACTATAATCTTCGAAACGTTGAAAACTACAACCTACCTAACAACAGACTTGCATTATCTAACGTATCCTTTTTTCCTTCTACTATTAGACTGTGGAACCAGTTACCTACTAGTATACGACGTAGTGCCACGTTCTCATCATTTAGAAACGCCATTCAAGACGTAAACTTGTCTCTCGTACCAAATTCCCTTTTTTATGGTGATAAGAAAAATAATATTTTGCATACAAAATTAAGAAACCGTTCTAGTACTTTGAAAAGTGACCTGTTTAGTGTTAACCTTATTGATTACCAACGTTGTATATGTGGCTTCCTTTTGAAGACACACCATTTCTATTTTACCTGTGATCAATTTAACGAACAAATAATAAAGCTTTACCGTGAACTGAATGAATGCATGCCTCTTAATTTAAATCTACTTTTATTTGTAGATACATCTCTTTCGGATAAGGAAAACATAACGATATGCATGCATACACAGCAATACATTCGCGACTCTAACAGATCCCCCCCCCCCCACCCCCACCCCGTCCTCTCTCTCCCTCTCTCTCAATTGAACCATTGAACCATAATATCCACATATCCACTCTCTCTTAGAGGCAGATACTATATGTCATACATTAATGATGATGAGGATGTATGTATTACATTATCCCCCTCTCCCCCTCTCCCTCCCCCCTCCCCTTTTCTCTCTCTGTCTCTCTCTCTCTTATAATTTCATTTTATAAATTAAAGCATTTAAAAATGAAATAGTGTGTATATCAATTCTGCCATCCTGTTGTACTATCGTAAATATATATTCTTGTAATTTGCTGGGAAAGGGCTTAATATAAGATTGATAACTTGTGCCCAATCCATGTGCTTGGCAATAAAATATGTTTAAACTAAAACATGTGAGTGTCGTCTATATTTAAACCGTCATTGACGTCACACTGATATCCATGCTTTGTGAATGCGCAATAAATTTCTCATGAAACAGTTTTCGAGCGTTTGAGACTACTTAATGAGGGTTCCATCAATATATCTTATTCGTCTTCCACCACATTTCGATTTACTTCCTCACTTTCAGAAATCTCACATTTTATCCTGCAGTATTGCTTATGAAAATTCAAGTTGTGTACGATGTACGAATTATGATATTTCTGGTGATTAAGCGTTCCCTTTCAACTTACCGTTAGCAACCGTACTTGTTTAATGTTAATTATTTAATACAGTCCATATCTTCATCACTATTAAAGTTAAAATGCCATACTTTTAGAAAAGAAAACTTCAACTTTTACTTGACAATGCTATTCAAGATAAATATATATAGTTCAAAGTAAGCTTTTTGAAATATAGATTATTCAGAAGAATAAAATCGTCTATACGTAGGTTTTGGATACATATATGTATATTTTACATTGCAGCTATAAACAAGGTTTGAAAATGCATCATACAGATCATCACCCGTCCACTTCTATCTTATTTTTAAATGTGAGTTTATCATATGTATAGTGCTTGATACATTTCCTCCCATAGGCCAGGTGATTTTACCAGACAAAAAAAAACAACAATATGGCAATTTAATCATTATTGCTCGCATTCTTTCCCAAAATGTTTCCTGTTTTAAGGAAAAAAGGGCAGTTTCCATTTTTTATAGTTTTTTCGTCAAGACATAAACCCAGGACCTGACCTGTACTGGACAGTTGCTTTTTTTATTCTGATATGATAATCAGTAGTTACACCAGTATCAATGAACTGCATGTAACGTTGCTATATAACATTTGCCTCATACAATAAAATACCGCCAACAAAGGGAAGGGGAGAGGTACATATGAAGGTATACAGCCCTGCAGATACATTCGGTGAACGTCTAGCAGACGATATGTGTTACATGCAATAAATACCTTAAATATACGTTTTGTTGTCACTAGTCCGATACACGTATCAGTGGAGTTTTTCTCTATAATGCAAATTGGTTCTAGTTTAAGCAGAGTTTCAAAATAAACCATCATGAAGGCCATCAATGTCATCTATAATTAAAGCCACCCAGACGTCACGTTCTGTGTTTAACCCGTGTAGTGCCTGTCTGGAGTGTGACATGTTGTTATTTATACAAGAAATATTCCTGTTTTTGTTTGATGCAAAAGAATATATCTTCCACCCAATCACATTTATCTGTGTTTACAAAGGAAACGTCCATTTTATGTGATGAAAGACAAGTTATTGACCACTTCAGACAAGATTATGTGATCTGGGCGCCTAACAGAACATTTATTTTCCTTATGAAGTAAATAACTGCCTATTTATATACAAAAATGCAAATTCATTTCTTCGACATTAAAATATTAAAATGTAGTTATTTTGTAAATTTGTGTTATCCTGTTGACTTATTATATATTTTTGTTGGAACAATCTTACTGCTAAATGCTGTAAGATCTAACTACACTCTTTTTTATTTACTCAACGATACCAACATGAACATTCATCAGGTATATAGTAAAACACGTAATATAGAACATGACCTTCAAAAGGAACAAAACACTATTTGTTATTAACCAATCAAAACATCTTTGCTTAAGCAGAGTTTAAAAATAGCTAGCCAAGTGTAGTCTATATTCAAACCGTCCAGGACGTCGTCATACTT